CCACCTCATAGTACCCCAGGCCAGGCCAGGCTGGGGTTGGACCAGGTTTCAGGCAAGCACAGACCCCCAGAAATGGGCTTAGAAGGAGCAGTTATTTGAAGGCTGCCCTGGCAGGGAGCCCGCCTGGCTGCCCTTGGAATCACCTGGAGGGTCGGACCAGCGTGGACCCCTGGGCCCTGCCTACCCGGGCAGGTGACTCGGAGACCACTGAGTTCTCCTGGCAGCCAGCGCAAGCCACTGCCTGACGGTCTGCTTCAGTTTCACTCGGTGGATGTGGATGGAGACCCCGCTGCAGGAGCCTGGGGCTTGGGGCTGAGGAAGGAATAACAAGGGGGCAGATCCCCATCCTAAAAGACCCCCTCACAGGGAGATGGGGGTCACTGTTACAGTGATGAAGCCTCGAGACCTGGTCCCAAGTCCGGGGCTGCATGACCTTGGGCGCTTCACTTCCCGCCGGTGCCCCAGCTTCCTTGCCTGTCACACACAGCCTCATCTGCAGGTTTGCCTGAGCTGGTGAGCCCGAACCAGGTGCTGGGGTCACACCTGATCACCTGCCAGCTGCGGTGCAGCAGCTACAGCGGCAGAGGGTCCAGCCTCGCAGACTCCAGGTCTTGATAGAGGCGGCAGCTGTGGGAAAGGGGGGTGGGGGGGGACGGAGCACAGGCTTCTTAGGGGGAAGGGGGTGAGGCCGGCCTCGGGGCCTCGAGAACTGAGCACATGTTGCTGGGGGAAGTTCAGCCGCGTGTGTGCTCTTTGTTCTGCTCTGGGGACTCTGGGCTGTCCACCAGGGGCAGAAGATGGGGGCAGAGAGCCCATCCTGCCCTCCAGAGTGCACAGGCCCATAGCCATCCACGTTCCCCCGGGGGAGTTCAAGTTCCGGGAATGAAGTAATACCAGTGCCAGAGTGGCAGGCCCCAGGGTCACCTGTCTTGGCCCAGCCTTGACAGATGGCTCGCCCAGCGCTCCCAGAGACCAGGGTGAAGAGCTGCCTGGGCCGTCCTGGGAGCCTACCCTGCATCCCTCCCTCCCTGGTCTTTGTATGCTGGTGCCCAGGGAAGGCAAGTGCCGAGAAGCAGGCTGTCTGGCGCCAAGTGCTGGGGTTGCAACCTCCCACCTGCAGGATGCATGGCCCCTGGCACGTATACAACAAGCATGGACCGAGCGTGATCACAGGCCTGGTACTTGGCCTGTAATGTAGGGCCCTAAGGACACCAGGCAGAGTCCTGCCCTCGGAGCCCACAGCCCTGTGAGGGCGAACCAGCCTTGAAGTGTGAACTGTGGTATGATGCCACAGGACCTGGCAGAATGCTGCCCAGCAGGCTTCTCATCCCGGGTGAAATCTGCACTGGGTCTTGAGGGATGAGTAGGAGTTCACAGATGGGTGAAGGTCAGAAGCGCGTTCCAGGCAGTCACTGCGAACTCACCACCTCAGAGAAAATACAGTCAGGGCTATACACTCCATGTCACCTCTCAGCTTTCTAATATTGTCCCTCTTGGTTACTCAAGCCGGCAGAGAGCCACACAGAGATGGAAGGTACAAAGTCACATTGTTCGACACACCTAAGGTAGCCCTGGGGCCACAGACCTCCCAAGGGAGCTTCCTGCCGACCAGCTGTCGCATAGCTCTGCAGCTGCCTTGGGTGTGGCCCTGCCCTCTGTGTTCCGTACAGAGTTCCCTCCAGCCCAACCCTTCCTGAGGAGCTGGACCTGAGTGTGGATGCTTTGGGAATGCAACCATGGACCGATTCAGGGAGGCTCCTGGTTTACACCGAGGACAAGTGGAGGGCTCAGAGTCGTGCACATGTATCGCGCACCAGCTGTGGGGGGAAGGGTAGAGGACAGTGGGCCCTGAGTCCGGACGGAAGTTATGGGCCCGAATACGCCCCTCATGGACCCTGGATCTCTTGCCCCCAGTCCTGGGCCAGCACCCATCATACCACATACAGGGGCATGTGACAGCCACTGGGGGTTTCAGGGAAAGCAGCGTCCAGCTCAAGGTACATATCAGGTGATGCTGCCACAGTGACCTCTATGTCTAGGGCTCCTTTGGGTTTGGAGCTATTGCGTCAGCCCCAGGTGCTGTGACACCAAGGGATGGCTCCCAAGAACAAATCAGCTGATGACCAGGGCACCCAAAGGAACAGAGATAAGTCAGAAGTAAACAGAGCTGAGAGCCGGGAGCGGATGTGCCCGGCCGGGGGGCACCAGGCCCCTCATGGACAGTCCTGCCTTTTGGACCCAGACGGCCTTTCTCTGCAGCTGTACGGGCTCCAGCAGGAAGCTGAGGCCTGGCAGCTGGTGAGGCAGCACCTGGGTGTGCCTCCACTTGGGGCTGACGAGCGCCAGCCCCTGGCCCTGTGCTGTGTCCCAGGAGGACAGCCATGGAAGACAGAGGTGGTCCCTGAGAGTCCCCGGTACAGGCGGGGCAGGACAAAAGCCCAGCAGCAGCAGGAGACCCCGGGCGCCCCATCCTCCCGCCACAGCCAAGTTGGATAAAAGGCACCGCGCACTCT